GTAGATATAATTTTATATATCATAATAGCTGATCGGACATTGTGACATCATAATATTGCCATCTGAATTAAAAAAAACAAGAAAAAAATTATATTTCTTTTCTGAAAACGTTGATGATGTCATATCATCTTAACCATTTGTCATTTCTGAATAATATTAAATAGGCTTATATACTTCAGGTCAAGGTTGAATGTTAGGTATCTTACTTTTTTGTTTGCGCGTCTTAACGTGCACGTACGCGTGCGTCAAAAATTACATATGCATATAATTATGCCTATTTACAATCAAATATAACGCCTTAGGATGAAAGGTAACCCCTAATTTTTATTACATATTCTGATAGCACATGAGTTGTAGATACGATTTTATTGATCATAATAGCTGATTGGTCATTGTGACGTCATCATATTGCCATTTGAATTTAAAAAATATATATATATTTCTTTTCTCAAAACGATGATGACGTCATATCTTAACTCTTCGTCAATTCTCAATAATATTAAATGTTCTTATACTTAAGGTCAAGGTTGAATGTTGGGTATCTTGCTTTTTTGTTTGCGCGTCTTAACGTGCGCGTACGTGTGCGTCAAAAATTACATATGCTTATAATTATGCCTATTTAAAATCAAATATAGCTCCTCAGAATGAAAGGTGACCCCCAATATTGATTACATATTCTGAGAGCACATGAGTTGTAGATACGATTTGATAGATCATAATGGCTGATCGGACATTGTGACGTCATCATATTGCCATTTAAATTAAGAAAAAACTCAATTATTATTTATGACGTCATTACTTTTTTTACTCGTTTGAAAGTATCTCGCTTATCTTGATTGATTGTCTCCCACCTGTGAGTATATTATAGCTAAATCAATTCTTTTTCAGACGTGTCCCTATATTTTTCTATTTCATCACGTCAGCATGGTCGGAAAGAATTTATTTTTGGAGCCCTTTTATCTCTCCTTCTTAAAAGATGTAAAGAAATAGAACAAAGAGAGGCGGTCGACTGTATTTCGACGCTATTAGACCTGTCTCTTATACACATCTAGATGTGTATAACTATTCAGATAGTTTAAAGAACGTTTCGGGTAATTTTCAGCATTTCAAAACTTTCCATAATTTACCCGCCGTACGTTCACACAGCACATACTAAAGCTGGAAATCACGTTTTGTTACATACTTTGTGTTCCTAACACATTATTCATATCAGGAGTCACTCTTTGTGCTATTACCGTGCTCACGGGCGTCAAGACGTACGTGTACACATGCGTAAATCTTTTAAAAAGCTCAAAATTATTCTTTTTAAAAGAACTAATTGCAGCATATTTTAGCATATTATGACACTTTTCAGTCAGCACCGCGTGATCTTAATGAGGGTCAAAGTGCGGCGGATCACCTAACTCGTCCTCAGTGACGAGTTCAAATCTAGTTATTATTATAATACGATAATTGTCGTCATCATAATCAAACGGTGCTGCTGAGCTAGTGCTACAGTAATCCATTGACATGTATTTGTGTTACCTTACGTTACGTCGATTTCACAACACACCACACGCAATCAGTTTCCTGTCAAATCGCATTGTGTTACGATAAAACGACGTAGTCGTAAGTAAATCTGCCTTCTTACGTCGACAGGAAACCAGGCTTAAGTAGTCAAGGACACAACCATACGCAATTAGGCACAATAATGCTGGGAGTTATGGGTTATTTCCCTACCGTTAACTTTGAGGAGAAAAGGGGAGATGGAGATTAGCAAGATATTAAGTTTAGTTGACAAATATATCTTTAATGTAGGCCTAAAATTCTATTAAAATTGTCATAATTAAAGCATGTTATACACCATTAAAGGAAAGAAGTATAGTGTTTATTTTTATTTCCTAAAAAGGATTGTCAACAGTACTGAATGCTCACATACTGTACTATTAATAGATATTGGATACTGGCCAAAAACCATGTAGACATTGTATTGAAATAGTTTACCTGTCTGTAATCACTATTTTGAGAAGTGGATGCAACAAAGCTTAATCGTCATCTGTGATCTTAATGTAATTAATGTGAATGAGTAATAGAACCTTTTGAGCTTTAACAAAATTTATTATGAGTTGTTGAAGGGCATTCCTCCACCATGTTCTTGCTGATGTCATCAAAGTAACATGCAAGAATGAAAAACTCATCTGTAAGTTATTTTTATCTCCATATTCAATCATCAGTGAGATTTTGCAACCTGTAACAAACTTCTCTTCTTTCCAATGTGTTGTCAATAGTGCTAGATAAGTTTTTATGTGAAAGTTGTAACAAATAAAATTTTGGCCTAGTTTTCATTTGAGAGGACAGGGTTTTCTACTTCTATGTTGATACTGGAAGAGATCTTGTCCAGGGTGCAAAAGTAAAAACAGATGTAGTCACATCAGAATAAACATGTGCAGACAATATTTACAGTGCAGAGTAAAGTTGGAGATCAGTTTAGTAGACCACTATGGGCTGCTGTTGGCTATGGCTACCAAATCGCAATCTGAAGTTTTTAATCCCTGTGACTGCTGATTATGATTTGATTCGTTATTGGTTTTGAATCTCGAGCTTGCTATTATTTTGTTAAATAATAAAAGTAGGAGCCCTATCAACCTATAGCATCAAATACAAATGAAATGAGGTACATTTCATTACATTTCCTGGTGAAGCTAGTGAAAGCTTGTGTCTCAATAAATTTTGTTAGTCTAAAGAATGTGCTACTGTTCTCATTTCATTATTTTATTGTGTTGGCAAGGCAATTTATCTGCATTGCTTCTCTCCATGTTCTGTACACCAGAAATTCTTGTAAATTGATACCTGTTGGGTTGCCTGCTGCTACAGTGCTTAATATGACTGCAAAGTATAGAACCATGTTTTCTTGTGTGTGGAATAAAAGGCCTGAGGAAATATTGTATTGCACACTTTAACATGTATGACATACAGAGCAGGCAGAGATGCAGTTATGGTGGGAGGATTTGGGCAGGGCCACCCAGCCCGGGTTTTCTACCTAGTCTAAAGCTAACTTCATGGCCCTCCACATCCTTATCGACTCACTTTTCCATCCTTAAAATCCACTCATTATTTAGAGCAGGGGTGGACATAAAAATTGGTTTTAACACCAAGGGCTGCACCCAAACTTTGATGATTCCAGTGACCTGCCAAAAACCTCCAAGCACTGCTTTTACACCACTGTATTCTTAGTTTTAACATTACTTTTTACATATGATCGGTGTCGGACCGTAAAAAACAAGGTGTTTTCTAGTCAATGTTGCTTGGCGGGCCACACACATAAGGTTTTTAATTCATTTTCGTGGGCCACAAAAAAATTGCTGTCGGACCGCACTTTGCCCACCTGTGATTTAGAGTTTACAATGTTATTGCTCACCCAGGGACCAAAAATTACACTGTTCCCTGCACTCACCCACCCTTAAAATGTGTACAGTATTACCCGCCCTTAGTTTTCCACAGCTACAATGGTCGATTTAGTGCCTGTCTCTTATACACATCTTCATTTGGCAGAAAACGTGTACGTATGTATTTTTCATTCACCACTCCATTACAAAACCATCACAATCTAATTTTTTGATGTTAAATGTATATTTAGACGACACAAGACTCAACAGCCTATTTTATGTATAACTGTAATTTATTTAATTGAGTAATCAAGTGAAAAAATTATAGAAACACTTGTTTTTGAAAGAGTATAAAAATAATGTTTGTCCTTCGAGAGAATGAAAAATGTAACCTCAGTAGTGTGTTGGGCTTTTTGACCAATTAGAATCTTAGATTGGTCACTCCCTTTGATTGTACATTCCAAAGTGCTGACACTCTGACCACAACATAAACTTACTTTCAGTTTTCACTGAAAGTTGTCAGCTAATAAATTATGCCTACCAAGTCTTATACATTAAGGGTAGGTATGCATAGTTAAATTTGAATTTATTTGAAAAGGAAATAATATACAGTGAAAAGTTTGAAGTACTTCTATGATAAAACCTTAAAAAATTAAAAGTCAAATATGAATTATAAACGCTAGAAATTCTTTAGATTAGAATGCCATGTACAAGCATCTCAGTGTTACTTTTTTTTTTAAATTTCCTAATATGGAAAGGGGACACCCCCTCCCAAACCCTCTGCCGCTCGGTGCTTCACACCTTCACTAAGTGCTTCGCACAAAGTGAGGGCTCCCCAAATTTATAGAGTAAATGTGTAGAGTATGCATGTTACATTTGTTGCTAATCATTATTAGTACTTGATGCCAATGGGGAATTGTGGAGTCATATAAAATTGTTTCCAGTTTGTCTTAAAAAATTATAAAATGAAATTAAAAAAGCATCTTGTACATTCACAGAGCTAGGCCTATATGAATGGATTGGAGCAGGCTCTCTATCCTGAGTGTAGGTTTGAACCCTATTTTATACATTCACATGACCTTGGGAAAGCTCATTTACTTGGTAGGATGTTGGAAATGGTAGAATTAATAATGTATGTGTGCAGGGGTGGTGCCAGTGGGGGGGGGAGGTGGCCAGGGCCACTCATCGGAGAGATAAACCACAATTCGTCGGGAAGGGAAAAAAAATATGTATTTTCTACATATTAGTTATATGAACCCCCCCCCCCAAATCCTGGTGCCAACCCTGTATGTGTGTTGTGTACACAGATTGATATTTTTTTTTATTATTAACATGTTGACTGCCAAACCTTTTTTCCTAGTTTCATCTCAAAGCATAAAGGGCATCACAATAATGAAAATCATTCCCATTAACAGTTATGAAACACGAACAAATTATTATTTATTGTTAGATTCTCCTCGGAACCTTCAGAGCGAGAGTTCACGGTCTGGTGACCACTGTCAGCAGGTTTACGTGCTATACAATAGTTTAGACATGTGAATTCACGTCCTTGGCGCCTTGAGTAAACCCTGTCGGTCATTAACTCGCATCCCTGACAGTGAACATGTTAAATACGTTTAATAATTCCCTTTTCAGAACAGCAAAACTTTGAGCAGATACTGCTTACCATTGTGGAAGGAGCAATTGAGAGTCAAGATCCTGTGGTAAGATTTGTCTTATCGAACTTCTTCCTTCATTTTCACATATCCCAATCTTCATTACCTGTTTCTCCTTCCACTCTAGTCACCTCTCCATCCTTTGTCCATTTCATTATCATTTGTCTAACCTTTTCCATTTTCTCCTTTCCTCTTTTTTTCTCTTTATCCTGTTCCTTCTTTCTTACTCTTCTTTCTATCAATTGTCCCATTGTCATTTCCTTTTTTTCCTTCTCTCATTCTTGATAATAATTACGTTTAACATGAATAAGGCAAAAACTTTTAATTTCTGTAATTTTTACACTCTAATTTAGGCACAGAAAACCTGTTTCAATATCCTGAAACGATTGAATGATGTTTGGGGAAGTAAGTCAGTCTCCGCAATGCCCTTCTTTCATAACTTTCTCTACGAGTATGTTATTCCGTCAGTATTCCGAGCTCCACTGCATCCATCGTTCAATTTTAATGATGCCCAGTCTATATTGGTAAGTTAAATATTTGAGTTTTTTAAATTATGCTTTTATTTAAACTGTCTACTTAGAGCTACAGGCCTCCCATGAATTAGAGATGCCTCCAATTAATGAACACATAAAATTAAAGACCACTTTTCTGTGGTCCTACATGAACAAAAGTCTTTATCTTTATTATCTAATGAGAGACATGTGCTGCTAAAAACCATGGAAACCCTGGTCCCAAAAGTGATTTTTAATTGAGGAGGAGGACCTGTAGTATTATTTCTGTCCTTTGTTCTATATTGAAAGTAGGTTGCTGTATTTAAAGCATTTAGTTGATTTTTTTTTTCTTCAGTTTCCTCATGCATAATTAATAACATAGGTCTGATAAATTAATCAAATGGCAAACTGCAAATAAAAACAACTTCTTTGAATCTGTTTAAAATGTATTATTCGGTTTTATTCATGTTTTAATTGATAAATTTACTACAGTATTTGTACATATTATCTCAATTTAGTATGTGATTACAATTTTGAATAAAGATAACTCAATATATATGTACTTATAAATGAACAAGCCAATGTTTTGCTTGTTTAAGGTATTTCTGTCTGTCTGTATGAGCTCTTTAGAGAGTGTAGGTAAGGCAAGGCTTTTTTTACCTTGTTTAGAGAACCTGCAACAGCCATTGATGGTGATTTCAATTAAAATTATATTTTTGGTTAGTTAGCACAACCTCCGCTACAGAAAATGGAAGTTTCAGAAAAACAAATTTTTTATACATTTGTTAAATGTAGTACACCATCCACTCCCCTGAAATCTCCAAAAATATGATTTATTCATTATTTACTGTATATAAATTTCAAGCATTTGTCAATCTCAAACACTGTACATTCATCAATAAACTCTTATTTTTATTATTTCCTCTGCTTAGATGCTTTAGGAAAAATTAAATTATTTTGCTAAATAAAAACAAACTTTGATTTGTTCCCCCTCCCCTACCTCTACCAATCTTTCAAAAAATAAGTTGCTAAACAAGGTATTAAAGAAGCCTTTCCTAATAGTGAGTAATAAATACAATAGCAAACTGGGAAAATACTAAAAAGTACAATGTTAGAATAATTTATCATTACAGTAGAACCCATATTCAAGGGCACCGCTATTAAGAGTAACATTTTTTGGTCCCAAAGATGTTCAATAATAGGGGTTACTGTAGTTTTTATGTTACTGTAATACCTTTTATGTACCATATCTGGCAGCCAAATTTGTTTTTTTTTTCTAAGTATATTATATTCCTGCAAAAAACGTATTGTAATAATCGAGTCAACCATATCAGTGTAAGGTTTCAAGTACAATGAAAATTAGATATGAGTGGCATTCTTGGGGAATCTGGAAAACCCCTAAAAAGGTACTGGCAGTTTATTTATGGAACTAAGTAGCCAGAGTGGAATAGAGTATGCCCATACAAAGTCAAAGATGATGTTTAGGCATGTTTCATGTTTATGTCTAATATAAAATTTGATAGTCTAGACATGGCTTTAGTCTTGCTGGTATGTAGCCACCATATAAACAAGGACATTAAAAAAAACATTGCAATACATGTGGTTGCTACCTTCATAACCCCAATGGCCTGCACATTTGTGGAAGTACAGTATCATTAAAAATAGTCTCTCAGTGTTTCCTACCGTACATGTACAGTATATAGTCTGAGAGATGAGTCGATTTAGTGCACATTTTTACCATTTGTCTTAATATGATTTTTGTATGGGACTGTACACCTGGAAAACACCAAGTCTTCAGTCTTATGAGTGGTGCGTTTTGAGGTCAATTACCTACTTTTTTACCAAATTCGACCTATATCTATATTTTAGGGCTCAGCGTTAACATGCATCAAAATTATTTGAATTAGGCTCATTTTAAAGCTGAGGGATCATACTAAATAGTGCTTATGACTAAAGGTGGTTTTCAATATTGAGGAAAAGTTCCCTATTTTTCCCATTTTTTGGTAAAATGTTATGTGTCTATTTTGATCAATTACCAATATATATGTTAATTACAAATACTTCAGATTTTCGTTCAAACAACTTTAAAAACTACCTCTACTACATAGGATTGTATATCCATCATGTTTATGAGTAAGACCTCAATTATATTAAATATAAACATGACCATTGCCTTCAGTTTTACACATAATTTAGTTTTCTGTGAAAAGTGGTTAATAGCAGAAATTTAAATTTGTTGTACCAAAAATAAGTGAAAATTACTATTTCTCAATTTTTACCAACTTGCATCATGTTTATGATTAAGACCTCCATTATATTGATTGAATATAACCATGACTATTGCCATCAGTTTGATACATAATTTAGCTCTCTATGGCAAGTGGTTTTCAAAATAGCATTTTTTGTGTGATTTTTTTACCAAAAATAAATTTAAAAATTGCTATTTTCCAAGTATTTACCAACTTAAAATGCAGTACACACAAAAACTGTAGGTGTTTTCCCCTTGCAGCATAGAGAAACTAATTATTGACTAGAAATTGCAAATTGCAAGTGAAGTGCTGCGAAGTACAACTGCATATAAATGTTCTTCGAACAAAATTATTTATGCGAGTCAAGTGAAAATAATGAATAATAAAAGTATAACAAATAATATGAGACACGACCCATATTCTATATTAGAACACTTCTCATTGGGTAACAAAGTCGTAATTTTTGTCAAAAATTGTCTATAGTGGTGAATTATGGTTTAGGTTTTTTTTAATAAAGTTTCAAAAATCTCTATGTATGTGGAAAATGTAGTTGATTACCAAAGGTTACATTTTTTATTTTGAAGACTGCATGGTCTTGGAAGTATACATTTTTTTATGGGGCAAGTTTCCCAGGGCGCAAGCCCGTAGCCAGGGGGGTTCATTGGGTTCGAACGAACCCCACTTTTCATGAAGTGCCCTTTCAACAAAGGCTGGCTAGCCTACACTTTAGGTCTAGCCTAGAGCCTAACATCATTAAAAGTTCTACTTTAATACCCGATTTTTAGGCCTACCTAGTAACATAAAAAATTCAGGCCACGAAACCTTGACTCAGAAATACTGGGATGGTGTCCGGCGGGGGATAGTTTCACCTGTGTGTATATATA